CACTCTTCACCCCAAGATCCTTGTTGCCTTCTTCTATTTGGCCTGGCAGTCAGTGTGGACAACTTTTGTTTCTCCCTTTTTGCTCCTTTGAATGGCCTGGAAGTCAATGTTTGGCGAAGCCTAAGGCCACACTCTTTGTTCTGCTTGCAACTGTGAAGCAGCCAGGGGGAAGCCTAAAGCTTCGATTCATACTTCCTTCCTCCTGTTTTCTTTTGTTTTGGATTTAAATAATAACATAGCTGAGGCCATGCTAGCATTGTTTCACAGCCAGATTAATTCTTAAAACATGTTTGATAAACAAAGAAAACAAGCCATAAGATTAGTAACGAAAACAAAACAAAGAAGGTGGAAACAAAATGAACCAAAGGGTAATGATGATGTCTTGAACGAAAGGAAATGATTATTTACATGTTATGCTTGAAACGAAAAAACCTAAGGTTAAGAGAACTTACCTTGCTTGAAGTTGGAACATGTGCTGGACCTTGAGTGGCTACCCTGAGTGCTCCTGGATTCGAAGGAAAGAAATAGGGGATATATTTCTAGTACTGGATTCGAAAGAGGAACCAAGTGCTGGATTACTTCAGATTCGAAAGAGAAAAAGAAATAAGTGTTGTGTTTATTTAGATTTGAAGGGCCAAGGAAACAGGTGTGGTGTTTCTTCTAGATTCGAAGGACCAAGGAAACATGTGTTGTGTTTCTTCTGGATTCTGGGTTTGTGTTTAGTATTTAGGAATCTTAAGAGTTTAAGAGTTTTGAAAGTTTGATGATTTTTGAAGATTCTTTCCACCACCCAAAAAAAGTCCTCTCTTAGCTTACAAATGTTTCTCTATTTATAGAGCAAGGGGTAGAGGTGTTGGAGTAACCAGGTTTGTAGGATAACAAACCATGGTTTGGTTGAAACGAAAACAAAATTCATCCCTTTTGTTATTCCCCAGTTTCAAGTACAAGTGGGGGCCTGATGTCTATTGAGGGCAGAAGATTGGATGTATGATTTTGGCATTGCTTGCGTTCAGACAAAAATCAGATTGGGAGCTGATTTTGTGACTAAAGTACTCTTTATGAAAAAAGGGTACGTAGATTTTTGCTATTTTATCCAAGAATAATATTATCCAGTAGACAAAGCTTCAAATCTTTGTGTAAGCCTCCGATTATATAAAGATTTGGAAGCAACATAGCCTGACAAGTGAGATTTGGAGGATAAGGCTATGAGATTTGCTCAACGTTCTTCAAACAAGCTTGCTTCGAAGGGCTCAGATTGGATTCTAAGTATGCTGATTCGAAGGGAAACAAAACTCAAATTGAAGCTTTTTGTGAAGGTGGCTCTTGTCCAATCGAAGGCTTTCCTGCCAGAGGTCACATGGCCAAACGAAAGGGTGCATGCAGGAGGTCCCTGCCTTGTACCTGCTGACATGAAGGAAATCCTAGCTTTGTGGTGTCAAAGGCAAACATGGAAAACCAATGGCTTATGAGTCGAAGGAGAGCTGCAGGAGGCTATTGATTTGTGACTTCAAGCAAACATGCAAGAGGTCTTTGCTCAAACGAAATCTTGCGTGAAGGGAGCCACATGCCCAAACGAAGGGTGTAACTAAAACTTGCATTGAAGGAAGCCATATGCCCAAACGAAGGGTGTAACCAAAGCTTGTATTGAAGGAAGCCACATGCCCAAACGAAAGGTGTAACCAAAGCTTGTATTGAAGGAAGCCACACGCCCAAATGAAGAAAGCAACCAAAGCTTGTATTGAAGGAAGCCACACGCCCAAACAAAGGAAACATGTAGGAGATAAAGGGCACAATCGAAGGAAACCAGAAAAGAGGCCTTTTCCTCCTGAGTCGAAGGAAGCCAAACATGAGACTTTTCCTCTTTGAATTGAAGGAGGTTAACAAGAGGCCATTTTCCTTGTGCCTGCTGGCCTGGTGGGAGTCCCTTGCTTTGAAGCATGCAAGAAGGAAGCTTTTTTCTAAATCGAAGGCTACATACAGCTAGCCATCACTTTGTGAATCAAAGCAAGCATGGAGGGAATTATTTGTCCAATCAAAACAGGCATGCAGACATCAAATGTTCAAACGAAGTAGTCATGCAGGCAACCATTGCATTGTGAACCATATGAGGCAAATGGTGCAATCGAAGGTTGCATGCAGGAAGCTCTTGCTTTGTGAATCAAAACCAGCGTGTTAGAGGTCAATGCTCAATTGAAGGATGCAAGCCAAGCTTGCATAGAAAGAGGCCAAAAGTCCAATTGAAGGATGTGAATTGAAGAAAACTTGTTTTTTCTTTAATTTTGTCAAAAAAAGGTTATTTTTCCCTTTTTAACAGTTTCCTCTTTAACTTGATGCTGAAAAATCCAATTGTACTTGTGTAAGCTTGAATTTTTTAGAATCCTTGTGAGAAATGCCTTGAGAAAAGAGAGGGAAAATTTTGAGGTACAGTAGAAGTCATATAACTTCAAAATATTGTTCTTCATAGTAACTAAGAACCCTTTATCAAAGAGCTGACATGCACTCATCAGATTGTTCTTCATCCCAAGAACACACCGAACGTCTTTGATTAGAACGATTCTTCCATTTTTCACTCTGACTTTGACATTTCACATACCTTCTATATTAAGTTATGTATCAGCAGCACATATGATCTTTGTCCTCTTTCTGGAGTCAAAATCGACCATCCATTTTTGTTTCCAGTTAAGTGATTTGAGCAGCCAGTGTCTATATACCACCAGTCTACCAAATACCTTCCATCAGACTTAGAAGCTATCAATAACACAGGTTCATCATCAAAATCTCCTCTAACTATGTTTTCTTCTTCTGATTTCCTTTCTTTGTTTGACCAACAATCTTTAGGAAAGTGGCCCAAATGCTTACAACAGTAGCATTGAACCTTCTTTTTATCAAACTTCTCCATTCCCTTCTGATGTTTCTTCTCATCAGAATTGGAGGCTTCTGACTTCTGGGAACCATCATGTTTCTTCTTGGCCTCTGACCAAGACAACTTCTGATACTTCTTACCAGAAGATGCCTTCAGAGTCTACTTCGCCTCTCTCTCAGAGGTTCTCTCAGTCAGACGCAACTCTTGTTCCTCTAAACTACTTTGCAGCTTTTCAACTCTCATGATATTCAGATCTTTAGAATATTCAATTGCTACAACAACATAATCAAATTAAGGATTAAGGGATCTCAATATGTTCTTAATAATTACTTGTTCATAAGGAGTTTCTCCATACGATTTCATCTCGTTTGTGATTAGAATCACTCTAGAGTTGTAATCTGGTACCTTCCCATTGTTCTTCGTGTTGAGATTCTCATATTGCTTACGTAGAGATTGAATTTTCACCTTCTTCACTGACGCATCACCTCCGTAGCATCGTGTCAGTATATTCCACGCAACTTTTTCCATTGTCGAATCATCGATTTTCTCAAACATGTTCGCATCCACACACTGATGGATGTAGAACAACGTTTTCTAATCTTTCTTCCTCGTATCTCTATGCGTATTTCTCTATTCCTTTGTCGCATTCGCTACAACCGAAACATAACCTTCAGTGACAAGAGCAAGAACATATTGAGAACAAAACAACACACGTATTTGAATCATTCATTGATTCCAATTCTTTCCATCAAATGCCGAAAGCTTAATATTCAAATTGTTTATGCCGCCCATCTTCATTTTGTGCAGTAAAAATTAAACTCAGATCTCACTAAATACTCGTGTTTCCTAATACCGTAAAATCAAGAAATGCAATTCTATTATGATTCTAATAGTGAATTTAACGTAAATTCAAACAACAAAATCAATCACACGTGCCTCATGTACACTCATATTTCCCTGTGAATTGAACTAGAGCTCTAGATACCAATTATTGGTGCATAAAAATGAAGATGAAAAATGAATATTGAAGGAGAGAGAGAGAGAGAGAGAGAGAGAGAGAGAGAGAGAGAGAGAGAGAGAGAGAGAGAGAGAGAGAGAGAGAGAGAGAGAACTTTAAAAAACTTGTTGAGAAAGATGCTCTATTAACAATTGCATTAACTTTCTTACAAAAATCCTAGCTACAAACTTGTTTAAATACACAAAATAAACTATTATGTAGACCCCTAACAAAAATATGTTTAATAGTTAAGCTAATAGCTAAGAATAGCTTCTAGAAAAATATCAAACTACTGCTTCTGAGTAACATCTTCAGAAACTCTGTTACTTATGACTAACAACATGCTTCTGAATATGAATTACTTCTAAGATATAGATTATACAAGCAAGATTGGATCAAAATGATAATTTTAAATTTGAGGATTTATGGATGAAAATTTTAGAAATGATGAAGTGATAGGAAGAATAAGTTATTCATGAATGATGTTATTTTTCGCACTCTTAGTGATACTTTCACACCCTAAAATCCAAAAATGTATTATCGGACATATTTCATATACACTACATCTCTCTATAAGTGAATCACACTTTCATTTTACTAATAAAATAATACACTTTCATTTTACTAATAAAATAATTCATAAATATATTTTCAGAAAAAATACGGAAATATACATTTGTTAGAGACAAACTTCTTCTTCTTCTCTTCTTTTTGTAAGTACACCTTGGAGTTAAGGAAGTGTTGTTGATGAATATGTAATACATATTAGAATAAAGCGTCTCACAATATCATGGAAGGCCATACCCTTGTTGAGGATGTATCCAGCTCTTTGTTTAACAATGTAATTGTGATGATTAAAACACTTCTTATAGTTTTCAAATAGTCCAAATAAAACACAAAACAATAACACCGATGCATACATAATATATTTGACAAAGTAGCATAGAGGAAACAACGGTTAGCCATAGGGAAGAAATATTATTGATTTTTGAAGAGCGATTTAGGGTTAAATGCATTGGCCCAAAGATGAAAGGCCCAATTGAAACTCTAGTTGTTTGTTGTTGGAAGTAGCAAATTGTATTGTATCATTCAGAATTTCTGTTTTTGGCGCTGCACTCGCTTCTTCCATTTTCCATTTACATGGCCTCCCTCAAAAACCTTCTCTCACAACGCCGTTTCCACCAACTCATAAACCCCAAAACCCTAAATCCCCTCCATTACAATTTCACACTCAGACCCATCGCAACCTCACCCCAAACCCAGCAAATCAAAAAACCCCTCAGCACTTTCTTCTCCGAAGTAATGTCAGGTAAAACCACAACAATAGAAGAAAACAATCACGGCGACGTCGAAATGGAGAAAAAACTGAAGCAATTAACAGAAGAAGTTAGAATCTTGAAGGAGAAAAAAACAAAAGGGGTTCCGATTTTTACAAAAGAGGTTCCAAAGAAAGTTGATAAGAGGAGTTTGTTTTCTGTGTTTACCAATCAGCCTCCTCCTGATGGTGTAATAAGTGCGAAAAAGCAGAAGCCGAGGGAGCCTTTTGTTGTTAAGGAGCTTTCAATTGATATGGTGGTGTTTTTGAAGTATCTGTATGGAAATGGGTATTTTAAGGATGCGAAATTTGATAACGTTCATGAAAGATTTGATCTTGGTTGGTTTGAGAATCCTTATGCTTTCGGGTATGCGAAGTTTGCAGCACAGAAATTTGCAAGTGATAATCTTGAAATTGCCAAGTAAGATTCTGAAAATGATGATATTATGATGAGTTTTTTGTATATGCTGTTTTCAGTTATGTTAGATGGTTGCATTTTTATGTTTGATTTAGCGAGAATATAAATTTAAGAAAATGTGAATACGTTACATGGTTGGATTTATATGCTTGGGATTAAAGAGCATTGGATAAAGTTATTTGGGCCTTATGCACGGGAATGGATTCGGTAACTTTGTGACCTTTCTTTGAGAGGCACTTCTGTTTCAGGATTTCAGTTGTGGTTTCACATGTAACCAAGTCGTTGAGCATGAGAGTTGCTGTAACTTGTGAGATGCAAATCTTGCTAGTCCATGATAATAAAAGACCATATAAGATTATGATCTTGTTAGATATTGAGGATCTTATCTGAGGATTGTGAGTTCATTTCCTGTACTTGTTAGATGTATTAGAATATATTGATGGCTTATAACATGAATTTGGATTCACAGATGGCTATCAGGAAGTGCAATAAAGCAAGTGGCGGTGTTTGGCTGCCCCTCCACTGGCAAGAGTTGTGTCTTCCCTGCGAAAAGACTGCGGAAATTTTTTGAGGTTCCAGAAAATACAGTAAGGCATAGCATGCGTAAATACTTTCACCATGTTCTCTAACTTATATTTATGCATGCATCTTACCCATGTTTTTTACAATTTCATTTTCCTTCAGGTTTGTGGTAAATGCATGCTGCGAAAATCATGCAAGTTTGCGAATCAAAACGTGTGGAAGTGTGATGCCAATAAATTGGACATGGAGTTAGTTATGAAGGTTGTGATTTCATATGCTTTACACTTGGTGCATCCTCACCTAGTAGTGTCTGATGAAGTGAACAAGTCAGTAAATCATTTACTGAACGAGTTTGTGAAACTGAGTAAAATCACCTGAAACTGCTTCTGGTTAACAGAATAACTTGTATTGTTTGAACTTTTCTCGCACACCATTGGGAAGTTGAGATGGTCATCACATGAGGTGGATTTCCAGGCCTAGAATTGTTTTTTCTTTGCAAACAATTTTTGGAGATTCCTTTTCTTGCTACACAAGTCTGAGTTTTTCAATTATGCTGCTCAACTCGAAGAGAATGTATTTGTCTGGAAGATCTACCTTATGAAATTCTGATCTGCGTGACAAGGTTTTCTTTGGATTAATTGCTGTAAGAAATGGCCTCGAACCATCTTTACATGCTTGATGGTTTTTTCGCAGTTGAAGGCTGCTGAAAGGGGACTTAAGTTCAAATTATGATCATAGAAAAGGAAAACATCAAGATAAATCATTCAGCTGCAGTGTGAAGTATGAATTTGACAAAATCATTTTGTTGCTGAGTAGTATTTGTAATGTTTCTCGTAACTAGTGAAATACCCGTGCGTCCGTATAAATATTGGTGTAATAGGTATGTTTTTGTTTTCAAAACGTAATAAAAGTGTAAATAAATAAAACAAAATATTTTTAACAAAATAATTTATTATTTTTAAAAGAAAGACATATTTTTTAAATAAAAATAAAATTGTATAAACTTTTAAAAGAAAGACATCAATAATATATATATTTCAACTATTCATATATTATCTTTAAAATAATTGTATTTTAAATTAAAAAGAATTTTAAAATAAAAATATTAGATATATAAATAATTAAAAAACAACACATTTTTCTTGTGTTTGAATTCATATATTATTTTAAATATTTTATTTTTTATTTTTTTTATTGTACAAAAATTTTAATAAGGTGTGTGTTCACATAGATTTTTGTCTGGTGATCTATGCGTTCACATGCACGGATGTTAGTGTAGAGCGTGGTAGTGTAGAGCACGGAATTAATATTAAACACCCAGTTAGAAAAAACAAAGATTAAATATGTTTTTGGTCTTTTTAAATATTTCAAATTTTGTTTTTAGTCCCTCAAAATATTTTATTCAAAAGAATGATCCTCCTAAAATTTTTAATTTTAACTTTTGATCCTTCCTATAATTTAGTGACGGTTTTTACAACTTAACTAAATTAGTGACGGTTTTTTACTTAGCGACTGAATTAGCGATATTTTTTGTTACGGTTTTGACAAGAGAGATCAAAAGTTAAAATTAAAATTTTTAGGAAGATCATTATTTAAAGGAAATTGTTTAAGGGACTAAAAATGAAATTTGAAATATTTAACAGGACCAAAAACATATTTAATCCAAAAAATAATTATTCAAAATAGATAAAAATGAAATGTATTTGTCAATACTAGTTATCCGTACGTTCATACGGTATTGATGTGTTACTTGTGCCTTCGTACGAGTACTGGTGTGTTACGCACGCCCATTTATTACGTATACATTCACAATATTGATGTGTTACCCGTGCACGCATGAGTCCTATTATATATAAACAACCCGTTTATTAACTTTGTTTTACTATAAAAACTTATAAATAAATATACTTCTAATTTGTGTAATTTTAAGACTTTATTTTAAAAAATTTAAGTAAAAAAGTATAAAATAATCTAACTTATAAGTTGTATAAAATGATGTAAGGTTTTAAATATTCACTCTAGTCTTCTAGGATCAATAAAATCATAAAGATTAAAATTCAATAACAATCATTTTCATAGACGATAACACTAATACTGATGAAGAATAATCAACAATGAAACCTCTTATAAAATCTATTTCTTAAATTAGTTAATATTTTGAATAGAAAATCAAACTATATGAATTTGAACTTAGACACTTAATATATCATATACTGGCCATCTATTTTTATTTATATTGATGTTATAATGTTTAAAACTACACTGACATAAATTTAAAAAGGAATTTTTTAACTACATTGACAAAAGAAATATGAAACACCCTTGACATCTGAGGCAAAAATATATTTGAATCAAAATAGGGTGTTATTGGAACACCCTTGACACCTAGTGTTATTGAAAAATTAGGCCACATACAACGATCTTTGTTTGCTAATATGCTGAATTTGCTTACAAAAGAAACTTCATATTGTATTTGACAAGGCACAACCCATTTTTCTCCTTATTAACAAAAATTACTTTTGTGCATCATTCAAGACTATGAGTGTATTTTTCAGAAACAGACATAACCTACTGTACAAATCAATGTTTATATGTTGCTTCATATAAGTTTCTTAATAATAAGCTAATAATATTATTGTTTTGTGATGTTTCAGAACAAATAGCTGTCATAATAGAATTCAGATAAATTAATTATGGTCATTAATTAATGTAACAAAAAAAACAGATTGGTGTACAAATTGTTGTAACCAAAAAACTGTATAGTAGAGTATATATCACATTTGGTGAACCTGAAAGTTACTCTATTTCAGGAATAACTTCTAACTCAAAACTCAGATGTCGGGTTGGAATAACCGCGTTTGTTCTATTAATATCGGTAGAGTCAAAAAGAGTAGGGAATGCCATAAATTTCTCTCCTTTCCCTTCAAGCATTTTTACCACAATTTTCATAGACGGACGATCCACCGGATTCCATTGAATACACCAAAGTCCCACAAGCGCGAGTTACTTTGCAATTCTAACATCTCCTTCATATCCTCAATATTAACCTGTACATCTTTTCCTTCAACCAGATTATGGATCCACTCCGGATACAAAACTTGGAACGTTTCCTCCGCGACATATTAGTATTTTTTCTTCCGCCAACCATCTCGAGCAATAACATTCCATAGCTATAAATGTCAGACTTATAAGACACGTTTCCAAAGTTTCTTGAGAAAACTTTAGGTGCAATGTAGCCCAAAGTTCCTCTAGCCGCAGTCATAGACACGGTGCTTTGATTTGCCGGACACAATTTTGCAAGTCCAAAATCAGTAATGTTGGGACTCAAATTATCATCTATTAACACATTGTGTGGATTGATATCAAAGTGAAGTATTCTATGATCACAACCAATGTGAAGATACTCAATCCCTCTTGCAACAGCAAGAGCAATTTGTTGCAGCTTTTCCCAACCGAGAAAAACATCCTTGTTCTCTGGCGGTGCCAAGATTTGGAAAGAAATCATAGACAAGCACATGGTAGAATCTGTCGGCACAAAATCCAAGCAAGCAAACTACATTGACATGATGAATTTTTCCCATGGTTCCAATTTCATTAATGAAATCTTTTCCATCTCCTTGTGTTTCATTGAGTACACCTTCACGGCAACCAAAATTTCTTGGGATAGCATGCCTTTAAACATTGCTCCATGAGCTTCTTCTCCTAAACTCTCCTTAAATCCATTTGTAATTCTCTTTAATATCAGTATGTAATGTGGAAAAAATAAGAAGTACAAATTCGTGATATAAGTATGAACTGTGAAGCAATGCACCATGCAACTATCCTTGCTATGTATTGAGCCTTTAGTTGCATCCTGTTTGAACCTTCAATCCTATCATCTTCTATCGTCTCACTCTGTTGTTTGGTTTCTACTGCCACCCTGCAGAACACAAAACTTGTATATATGAGATCAAAAAATCAAAAGTGCAAGTTATAGTTTTTCCTTTTGATCACTAACCTGTTGAAGATGTAATGCTTGAAAGACTGCAAATTGTTCCTGAACATCACATATGTTAATGTTAGTCATTAAATCCAGCATATTCCAAACATTAGGTGGAACTTCAGTTACAGGAGCATTATCATCGATGCCTCCATTTGAAAAGGATCAACTCCTCTGATTTTCCTGATAAGAAAGATTCAAAAATCAGTGGAGTCAGATATATGTAGACAGTGTGGTCATAATTTTCTGACTTTGTGAAGACAACTTTTTATCACCTAGCCGTCATAGGTGTACCTAAATTAAACACTGTAAATATTAATATTATATATTATGTGCAGCAAAAATAGAAAATAAAAGAGAGAAATTAGTATTAGACAATGAATATCAGACATGATTTACTTGATTCTACTCTTTATATACTCTTTGGAGTTAATCAATTGTTATGTAGCCATATATTTTATTTGAGATAGCATGGCTTATGCATATGACCAAAACGCAGAGAATTCTGCCGAAACATTGGATAGCTAGCATGGCTTATGCAGATAACATAAGGTAAATTATCAAGAACTTAAATCCAACATAAATTCAATAGCCTATCAACTGTAATTTAGAAAAAACCATTATATTCAAGCATGGATATATATATATTCATTATGGTATATTGCAAAGTACACAATGAATTGGTTTGAAGTTCTCTGCATATTAGATTACATTAATGACCATGCCGATGAAATCGCACAATGATAGAAATCTCCTCATCATTTATATATTATTCACCATATTTTTCTATATTTAACAAATCAAGCAAGCTTGCATCTCTCATGAACACACATATATTGGAATCCTGGTAACTGAAAGTCATGAAACACATTATTAGATACTCCTGCAAAGCAAATGGAAGAGCATAAATTCAAAAATTCATAGTTATCAAAATTTATACTTTAAATATCATAGTCAAATATTAATTGAATGTAGAAAAATATTGAAGAAGAAAGTTAATTCATTAAAACTCACTCCAAATTTTGAAAAGCCATTAAAAGCTCATGCACCCATCTCCACTTCAGTGATAGAACTGAACAAATGAATCCACACAATCTCTAACTGATTTTGTAATTACAAACACTCATAAATAAGATAATAATTGAACAGAACAAATAAAAAGTTAACAAAACTAAGAGCAAATTACTATGTGGAAGTATAGTTACTGTCAAATATTCAAATTATTGAGTGTTTATATATTTCTACGGATACACACAACAATATGTCTCAAACATTATAGCACTGTCAAAAAGACATCGCCTGAGCAGAACAAATATGCGCGGCTGAAAGAGTGAGGATGCGATTTTAAATTTTGTTCCTTACAACATATCCATCGAAGCTCCTTCACATGAATCACAGG